CGAAGAGAACGCTCTATAGTAGCTGGGGCACTGGCTGGCACATAGTAGGAGGCTCTGGAAATCCTGTTAAATTAAGGGAAATTCTCACAGCAAGGCCACTGGCTAGTGCAAAATAGGTACAAAATAAATACGCACAGACTGAAGAAAGGACCCAAAAGTTAGCCAGTGGCAGTACTGGACAGAAAACTCTAGTTTGTCAGATTCTAAAACTGGAGCCCAGGAGCCGAGACACCATCAAAGGCCAGTGTGGGGTTTGTTCCCTGCCCCTGCTCAGCAAAATGAAAGCGGGCAGACAGTGGCGCTGAGGTGCTCCTGTCTCCCTACCTGCCCTCCCGCAAGGATCTTCCCCGACCTCAGCAGCAATGACATGCTCCTGTTCATCGTGAAGGGCGTCAACTTGCCCACACCTCCAGGTGAGGGGGCGACAAGAGGTCAGGGCCATGGGGACTACCTCCCTGCCCAGCCCTCACCCTCATTTGCCCGCAGGGATGTCCTCCGGTGACCTGGATGTCTTCATTCGGTTTGACTTCCCCTATCCCAATGTGGTATGTGGAAGCCAAAGAGAGATGGGCTCAAGCCCCGTCAGACTGGGGAGTGGGTAGGGCAGGGGTCCCCAGCCCCCGAGCTTTCCTGCCTCCTATCTGGTCCCAGGAAGAAGCTCAGAAAGACAAGACCAGCGTGATCAAGAACACAGACTCCCCTGGTGAGACATGGGCAGCAGGTGCCCCTATCCCCTGTAGAAAGAACATGAGACCATAGTCTGACATCCTTCCTTCCCCGGGCAGAGTTCAAGGAGCAGTTCAAACTCTGCATTAACCGCAGCCACCGAGGCTTCCGAAGGGCCATCCAGACCAAAGGCATCAAGTTTGAAGTGGTCCACAAGGGGTGAGCTGGTGGCGGGGAGGGCAGGCACTGCATGGGCTCTGGGGGTGAGGGAGCTCACTCTGGCCAACCATCTTCCCCCCCCCCCCAAAGGAGCAGTAAACTCTGCATTAACCGCAGCCACCGAGGCTTCCGAAGGGCCATCCAGACCAAAGGCATCAAGTTTGAAGTGGTCCACAAGGGGTGAGCTGGTGGCGGGGAGGGCAGGCACTGCATGGGCTCTGGGGGTGTGAGAGAGCACTCTGGCCAACCATCTTCCCCCCCCCCCCATCACACACCCCGGGGGCTATTCAAGACCGACCGGGTCCTGGGCACAGCTCAGCTGAAGCTGGATGCCCTGGAGACAGCCTGTGAGGTCCGGGAGATCCTTGAGGTGAGAGGTGGACATTCATCTGAATGCTACAGTATGACTTGTTAACATTACTCAAGTACTCCCTGCCCTGAGCCTCTTCAGGGGCCCTTCTGCTGACCCAGCCCCTCTCCTGGGAGTCCC